ATATGGATAGTATCATATTCATGTTTGAATATGTACATCAATATTAAGATGCAGTACATTCAAATGACAGGTTCGAAACAAGATAAAACGTGTATCCTAAACTGTACTATTATTCATTATCCAGTTTTGATAATCATTGTTGTTAGAACAAATAACAGATTAAGATTTAAATAAATTGAATGGAAACTTTTGTGAAACAACAGATCTAATAAAATTTTCTGTAGTACTCAATTCACTAGCGCTTCCTTTTGAACGAACAATAGTTCTTTTTTAAAAGTTTATTTAAGGTTTTATGGTGTTTAAAATTATCATTTCAATGGAAAAAATTTCTATAAACTATACTGTATTTGTTTACAAATATATTCTTGAAGATAGAGTCGAAATAAATGACAATGATCATTGATAGATCAAAGAATATACACCAGTTTCATGAAAGATAATGATAAACCTATCTGTTATAGAAGAATAAATTCAATCATTCAAAAATAGGACTTAATATGTTAGGGGTCAGATAGTTATTCATAACCGATAATGACTAGAAATTACTCAAAATCTCGAACTGAATAAAATTATTTGAAATAAAAACTATGTCAATCAATTCTGAAACTTTGGTTTAAAGATGTACTCATTAAGAGACTCAGATGTTGCAACTTTAATCTCTTTCAATAACGGTGAATATTCCTCATTACAAGTCCCAAGCTAACAGACATATTGTATTGTTATCATATACCATAATGAAATCATATCGTAATGATAATGATCCATTTTAGATTTTTAAAAAATCTTTAATATATGTTATATATGACACTATTTATTCTAAGTTTATCTAATAAACTATTTCAATAAATAAGTAACTGATATCACTTGATTTCATCATTTATGTTTACCTAAGACAATAGTGTATAATCAAAATTTATCAATGAACATAATTTTTCTTCCTCCGTTCTTTTAGAATTGCGTCTTTTTTTCTTTTTATATTTAGAAAGCCGAATAATCATATGATGGGTATGTAAAATTTGGCTAATATCACTTTTCAATTTTATTTTTTTTTTGAAAATAAAATCAATTTGTTACTAAGTGAAAATAAATAAATCAAGATTTATGTGTAGTTGATAGCTTTCTTATTTCTATTATATTTTATATGTACTAATACTAATGATAAGTTAAAATTATTAACAGTAATTGTAAGTTATATCACTCCCTCTCTCATTCTCACTCTCCCTGCTTCTCACTCTCTCTCTCACTATATATACATATATATATATATATATATATACTTACTTTACTTACTTTCGCCTGTTACTCCTAATGAAGCATAGGCCGCCGACCAGCATTCTTCAACCCATTCTGTCCTACTCTGCCTTCTTTTCTAGTTCCATCCTATTCTTGTTCATTTCTCTCATGTCTATTTCCATTTCTCGGCGTATTGTGTTATTTGGTCTTCCTCTCCTCTTCCTTTGGCCTTGAGGATTCCATGTGAGGGCTTGTCTTGTGACACAGTTGGGTGCTTTCCTCAATGTGTGTCCTATCCACTTCCAGCGCTTCTTCCTGATTTCTTCCTCCGCTGGGATCTGGTTTGTTCTTTCCCACAGTAGGTTGTTGCTAATAGTGTCCGGCCAACGGATCTGAAGTATTTTGCGTAGACAACTGTTAATAAACACCTGTATTTTCTGGATGGTGGCTTTCGTAGTTCTCCAGGTTTCTGCCCCATACAGTAGAACTGTTTTGACATTTGTATTGAAAAAATATATATATATATACATATATATATATAAAATTTTACAGTCCAGTCAGGCATCCAAATTTTGTGGTTTTAACATTTCTGTAAACTCAAAAGGTTTTTTATACATAATGATTTATTCTTTGTAACTGTACAGAGATAGTTTTGTCTAGATCATACATATCTTCATGAACTTAAATTAGCCAAAGTATATTAAATGAGAAAAGACTAGTGGATAGTAGTTTCTCTCTACTTTTAGACTTACCACTAATTTACTTTTTGATTTACAATGAAAGAGCTGTCAGATATATTATAATTCTCATCTGCCTACCATCTGACATTAATTTTTTTTTAACTAAAACTACTTTTAAGTATTTCATTTATTAATCGGTGAGATAATGATATATGTTTATGCTTCATTTTTAAAATATACACAAATAAAACTTGCGACAATATATTTTACTCTTTTTCTTATGAATTAAGTTACATTGAACACACAAAGCTACTTCTCTTTCGAACTCATCTCCACACATTACCCTTCATTGGTCTTGAAAAGAAAAGTGCAAAACAATCAATGACTCAATATTGAATCATCTCATTAATTCTGATGACACTGTTCAACGAGAAATGTCTTTCAAGATTATTTACACGGTCAGTTGATTAGTTATTGCAGAGGCTTTGGCAATTCAGCATCTGTGTGATCTCTCGTCCTGACATGCTCTTAATACTCTTAGATTTTAGTTATTAAGAGCTCCTTATAATTTTCTTAAACTCAAAATACCATTTTTTTGCTATTACATCCAAGTAATTTATTCCTTTCTCACATTGATCAAGTCGAAAATAATCTCTCATACTTAATCTCTAAAGAAGCGACTTAAAATGAACTTTAAAAAAAACGCTAGAAATTCAGATTTTCGCTCACTGATACATTATGAAATCATCATCATCATCATTATTTTCATTATAAGTAATTTACCAATACTCAATTTATTTGTTATTACATAATCGAACCTTTTAATTTTTATATCTATCTGTGATATTTCGAAATATTTTGTGATGTAATCAATTTCTATTTTTCGATAAACTTTTATATCTGTTAAATCCTTCTAAATACAATGTTACAAGTTCAATGAATGGTACTATGGAAAAGAAAATCTCCTCCTGGGTGATCTTTACATTATTTGAGTCTTTAATGATTTACTTTTAACATTTTGTGAAACTTGATTATTGAAATGATGAATGAAAAACCTTATGAATTTCATTACAGATAAATAAGAGTTATGGAATTGAAAACTTCCAAAACCATTTTTTAAAAATAAATAAATAGATCATTCTCATCTACTCACGATTTCCTACGAAGTCAATGTAGCAGCGAAAGAGATAAATTTTAGCGATTAATTTGTCATTCATTATTATACGACCACAATTTTTACTTCCCCATTGATTTGATGAGCTCAACCGGCTACAGTATCCCATTGGAACGTTAAGAGATATAACACTTTTGTGAAAGCACTTGAATGATTCCTAATATTTCTCCAATTCATATCAGTTATTGACAAAACATTTGTTAAAACTGTACAAAACGTATACTCTAAGATATCAAAGTAAACCTATTTGTTGTTCTTTTCAATCACATGATTAGTGAAAAGTTGATAACGTAAAACAAAAACAACACAAGTACTTTATATTCTTTTACAGTCAGATTGTCACTTCTGACTGTTTTCCTTCATAGTTAAAATTAGTTTTATTTATGATTTTCGTTAAAAATATATTTTAACTCCTAACTTTAAATATAAACAAATAGTTTTTGAATTCGAAATCTTCTTATTAAAAATAAATCACCTGTGATCATTCTTTCAGCTCTAAATTGGCTGTAACTACTTGATCTTTCACTTTGAATTGTATTAATCTACCACAGAGAAGCTAGTCATTAAAAGAGCATTAATGTTTAATCTGGAATCCCCTAATAGATCTGATCATTATATGATTCCTGTGAAATCTATGAAACTGCTAAACATATTTACAAAAAAACATCATCTCCTTCAACAAGTAACAGGATTTCATCATAAAAATGAAAACTATAACCCATATAAACAAATTCTAGGCTAAAACGGAAAATTTCATTAAGATACAGATTAATTCATCAATCAAATAACTAAGAATCTATTTGGCACTCACTGAAATCTTCTAGAAATTCAAATTCAATGATTAAATACATTGATGCTATTAGAAAGACTTGAATTTCATGTATATGAATTATCTAAAATTAAATACTTGAAAAGTAATTGAATCTTGTATTTTACTCATATTTAACAATAAAACAACCTTACAATCTCATAGATACAACTACCATACTAATAACAGGTCTTTTTAAAGATTGTTTTTAAAATATATATTGTATCACTACCTGCATAAAATAGAAAGAAAACAAATTTCCATGATGAGTGCAAAATGAAATTATACACTGAATAGTATTATATTCTGTCATAGAAAATGAATAATAACATGTAATTGAGAAATAAACTTTCTATGATACAGTTCATAAATAGAAAACAAAAATAATAATCATTATCATATTAATGTGTTCAATAGAAGAAAAAAATAGTGTACATATTCTATTGGTTAAGAATATCTAAGATATAGAAATACAATGAATCATTTCAGTTAGTAACATGCTAACACAATACACTATCTTTATTTCTCACATATTACATATTACTTTCTGTATACTTACATGAATAAAGAAACACAAACTAAGCATATGTGTATAATGAATTAGTTTCGTTAGTTAGATATCTCAAATGTGTACATATATTAATCACTATGTATGGTAGCATATCGATTTATTTCTAAGTAACATTTACTCATTCAATTCCAAAAACATCTAGATTATTTATTCACAATAATGTTACATAGAATACAAACACAAATTTATGTAAATTATTATATGTTATCAATAGAATGTAAGCATCTAATCAAGTTTAAAATTTACATACAAGCCAAATATTTAAACTAAAATATGCACCAACTATAACTCACCCGATAAAAAACACAATCAGATCAATTTATCTAAAGAAAGAAATGTTGGTCAATTAAATTCTACACAATGAAAATACACACTTACAGGCAATCATGATTCCATTTTGATAATATATATATATATATATAAATAGAGTTTAAACATTGAAATGAAAAGCATTCAGATTGAAGTTATTCAATAAAAGATTTGTTTGAATTCACTACTTATATTCTTTATTGAAATAACATTTTAATATAAAACATGGATAGTCCAATGGAAAAATTTATTCAAATTTATTTAACTTTAATTCGTGATAATGATGAAAGTGTTGAAACAAGCAAACTTAGTGAAAGTTGTAGAAGAGAAAAACTTGATATGAAACAAGTAATGTAAGTAGTATTGTTTAATTTTGTGTTTACTAGATTATTACTGGCAAATAAATGTTTTGTTATATACATGTATATGCATAACTATTTGTGTTATAAGTAATATTATTTACCTGGACATGACATTTTTTACAGAAGAACGTTAAGCATAAATTATTCTGAACATTTCGATAGATATTTACTACAGATATTGTACTACATTTGATTAAGTCAATAACCTTTCAAAAATTTCGAAAAATTATCCTCTGGTAGAAACTCGTTAAAACATTATCTGATCGAATTCTATCACAACAAACCGTTTTGTTTTTCTTAAAGCAGTTACTCATGTTGTTGTTTTCACAAAAGGGTTTTTTTTTTCTTTCATTTAAATTTAGGACTGGATTGCACTTTTTGATGTAGACAAAGATCAGAAAATCACATTTGAAGAATTTTGTCGAGGATTAGGATTGAAACAGAATGAAATGTAAGTGCAAATGTATAGATTTCATTGATAATAAATTCATTTTACTTTTTTAAAATTATTCATAATCATTTAATTACAGTGTGAAATATGACTTTTTCCCCTTTCAATTATATATTGTTAGTTTGAATTTGACAGTAAGAAAACATGATCAATTTAGCTAGCTAATGATGATACTTGAAACACTAGTCACTCGATCAATGTTAGTACTCAAAATATAATCTGTTTGTTATATGGCTTAATTGACACCATAAAACAATGTTCATAGACACGTTCCTATTTTACTAACCCAAAAACAAACAAATAAAAAATGTAACTAAGTTAAACATTGATGAATTCGAAAAGTTATTATCAACTAAATTGATTGTGAACAAAACTCTATTGACTGTTTCAAACTATTAAAATTTACTATGTCAAAATTTCTTTCTGAATGCACAATAGCGGAATGCATCAGAGTAGATTAGTTAGTACTCAACGTATTGGATGCATAATTCCTAAAATAAATAATACATTCATACTGAATTAAAACAGATTTAATAAATGAATATATCGTAACATCTTAATTCTATGTGATCAACAAGAAAAAATGTCTGTATCCAACTGATGTGTAGTAGAGAATTTCTGTTTTAGTAAAAACAATTTTCATCTCATTACAGGAATTCAATGATTTCCGAAACTCACATAAACACGTTTCTACTTCAAAACATTGTTCTTTCCAATAATCTACTTAAAAAACCAAAGGTAATTTGTAAGACACTGACTGATACTTAGTGAAATACATACAAAATTCTCGAAGAAATCAAAATGATCGCTTTGAATTAACTATATGATTAACAACAATGAGACTCGAGATAGAATGGAACAACCAATCAATCCTATTCAATGCTAAAATAGGTCCTTACTACACACTCTATTTACAAAAGCTTCAGTATATCGTCATATATTACTCAGTTTAGATGATAATTCACTAATTAAACATCCTAAATTGACTAAGCTTAATGAATATATCGGTGTAAATATCACTTCATAAAATGTTTGATTTGATGGTATATGACAATGTATGTGACAAATCGATTACTTGGTCAACAGTTCATCGTAATCACACACAACTACTTGAAACTATTCAAAATAAAGTAATTTGATAAGGAAACTAATCACCAATAGAACAGTCTATAATGTTGAAATGAATCTACTATGAAGGGATGATACTTGAATAATATTTACAATGCGGTAATAGTGTTTACCAATCTAGAATTATACTGTTCATCACCTCTGTTTCAAATCGGAATTTTACTGCTTTTATAGTTAGACGAATTCTCTACAATTGAATCTTGATGATTGAGTAGTGGAAACGAGATTGTCGTGAATGTTTGTTTTATTCAAGAAAACGGGTTATAGTGGAATGTTGAAAGCATGTATTTGATTGGAGTGATAAATGCATTCATCACTGAGTTTAATTTGTGTGCATACTAGACTGTTTTATTCAGTGTAGAAATAGAGTGATGTACTGTGCTGCAGCCTATACACAGTGCTTTACAAAGAGAATTGTTCTAGAAAGCAAGTAAAAATGAAATTGTGTAATTATATTGTGTTAATTTGTTGTTAACGAGAAAGATGAAAATGAAAATTTATCTCATTTGTACATTAATCTAAATTGATTTTTCTGATAAGTAATTTCAAATTATGATGGAATGTATGACTGTTATGTTTTTTAATAGAATAATAAAAACACAAGAGATTCCCAATACAATAATAAGTAATATATTTGATATCATAAAAATTAGATATACGTAACTTTGGTATTTTAATAATAAAACACTCATAACACTATTTAAAGCATTTATTGTCAACATAGACGAGACGTAAATGTCATATAGAACTCAAATTTCACATTACACTTGATCTGTTAAAGTTAGAAAGTTTTGCCTAACAACAAGGGATTGTAGATTTGAACTCTACTCAACTTCCTGATTCTGTCAGCTATATAGGATTAATTATTCTCAGATTAGAAAATGTAATTAAAGGTTGAGTGTAGTAAATTTCACTTATGTGACATATTAGCGCAATACATTTTGATTAATCTGATCACACATTTACTTGCACCAAAATAGTTACAAAAACATATAGAATCAAATGACTTCATAAGAGTAGATGATAAACATTCATCATCCTCTATTTTCAAACACATAGTTGAAACAGGTTATACGATGGGTCATAACTCGGGTTTTGTAGTGTTGAACAAAGTGTAAAAGAACGTCTACTAAGGTTTACTGAAGACTAAGCCATACGAAAATTTAAATCCCCTTCATATATTCAAAAAGTTTATTCTATCTTTAAACTAAGCTTATTATCCAGAGTGATGAGGTTTCAAATCGTTTTCACATTATTTTCTTTATTATCCCTGTCTCCTCCTACCCTCCATTTCCAGTCTAGTTAACCTTTCATTTTTTCAGATATAAGTGTTCTTAACAAGTATATATTTGGCCAGATTGTTCGCAAAGTACTGCGCCAATACATCATATAGTTCTGATAATCTTCGTCTTCTTATTACACTATCGAAGTATATTTACAATAATATAAAAATGAAGTCAGATTTTGTTTGGTATATTATGTACTTACTTAGTTACTTACGCCTATTACTCCTAATGGAGCATATGCCGTCGACCAGCATTCTTCAATCCACTCTGGAGAATGCTGGTTGGCGGTACATATCTTGTAACTATATATAAAAGATGTATAACATTTAATGATATTTATAACTTTAATCTTTGTGAATTAATGTTCTGATACAACGATATTAAAAGTCTTCATATATGTCACTGTAACAAAATTCATTTATATCATTTACAATACAACCACTAAACGTATACAGAATAATGGTTTATTGATTTGTAGTATTATAAATACATGATATTATCTATGTATCTTTGAGAATAAATGGTTGTTATTTAAAAATCAGTGTTATTCAGTCACTACTCAACAGTATATTGTTTAGTTTTAGAATCTCTTATAGGCAGATTTCTATTTATCATAATCTAATACCATGATAAGCTATAAGTTTTACAGAACCTGACTTAAGTAATTACATTCATTTGTATTTATTACAAAACACTTGTCGATATTCCATTAAAACGTTAAAAAGATATATAAGTAATCATATCAAGACATTAAGATGGTGTTTTTTGATGCTTATTTATATTATTCTACTGATATTTATTTACAATGAAAAAGATTAAACTGATAGAAACGGAAACTCTTTTAATTAAAACTACTTCTGTTATTTTTACTTCAGGCGCATTGAACGAAACCACATTAAAACTGTACAATCAGGTAGAGAACCAGATTTGCCAGAAGGAGTAAAAATTATCTCTTCAACAATGCCGAAACCAAAACAAGTTGAAGTAACACTATTATATAAAGATATATTTGATGGAGTTAAAAAAGATCCTGATATGAATAAAGTTGTAAAAACATTCAAAAGTGAATTAGAAAGACGTTATGGACGTGTATGGCAAGTCAATGCTGTGACTCACTCATACTGGGCAAGTTTCTCACATGAACCGTTCCAATCAATTCAATTCCAATATGAAAATAAGATCATTCTTGCTTGGCGTACACCAAGTAATTAAAAAAAGGAATAGAAAGTTGAAGTATGACCCAGTAACCAGGGAATGACATTTTGTTTAGAAACAAAACCGATATTAAACAATTTCAAAGTTATTAATTCTATTGATGTCATGAATAAAATATTTGTCTTTCCCTTTTCTATCTTTCAAAAAAATTTAATGTTCTTCCAAATATCTGAACAAACTACTCTCTAGTAATAATTATTATGAAAATGTTTTAAGAAGTATAAATTTAGTAAAAAAAATTACTCTTTACACTTATTGTGTAACTTTTAATCATACATTGGGCTTATTATTTGTCGGATTAGATTTATTTCATTTATTGGTGATACTTCAATAAACACCGAGGTTAACATTCCGTACAAACAATTACTATGGAATTTCAAATGATTTGTAGATAATATTCTTTGACGACTGTCATTAATTTGGTTACTATTTGGATCTAGGCAGCAATGGATAGTTTTTCAGTTCCAGAATGAGGTCTTACCAACATCTATGGTTGCGCTAAAGTTTAATCACAGATCTGCTAGGTCATTAATTGGTAGCAATATCATTCAGACTACTAATCTAAGGTTCATTAGAATACATTTCACTATTTCACTCCATTTAAGTGACTATGGAATTATAAATTATCTTATTTAACTTGTAGGCTTGAATAAATATGAAAACCATTTCTTTGAGGATTTTAAAATGATCTTGAAAAAATTGGTTCCGTTTATGATATTTGTCTGAACCTAAACATAGTTGAATGTTATAATATTATTGATGTTAGACAAATAGAAGAAACAGAAGTTGGTGAATTTTATGAAAAAAACACTTAGTATAAAGCAGTTATGAATACGGTGAAAAACATGTCTGATACAAACTTTAATTCTTTTATCAAATATAAGTGATTCGGAAGATTGTTCACATTGTAATAAGTTTCCATCATGAACTGTTTAGAGAAATCTATGAAAACTGAGAAATGACAAAAAACAAACTGTTATTATTAGTTTACAATTTATAAACAGTACGCAAAGATGACAGACATCACACATAGTTTAATCATAAACTGTTGGATCTAGCAGTAGGCGTAGTAACTATATATATATATATATATATATATATATATATATATATATATATATATCAGCTTAGCGAATAACTATTACAAGACGCTCTTAATCATCTACAACCTAAACTCGAAAAAAAGAAAAAAGAGCACACTAAGTGAAAACAAGAAGTGCTGTCATAAGTTTTGATTGTTTTGTAATGTACAGATTAATATAATTTTAGTAGATCTTTATATAGATACTTATATACGGTATAGTTTGTGATGAATTAGGCATGACGTAGGAGAATCATAATATAAGCTCTAAAATAATAAAAACACACAATGTCAACACGAAATTGACTTTTTTAAGAACTTTCAATAACAACAGTGGTTAACATTCGAAGTCTCTAGAGATTCATTAGTAAAGTGAAATATAATTCATGTACATAATTTCAAGACAATATAAAAAGAAGGAATTATTAATGTATGGTACAAATGATGAGAGAGGATTTATTCTAAGGATATAGTACTATTGTAGTGAACAAGAACACGAGTGGGGACAATCGATTGTATTCAGCATAAAATTACAGGACTTGTTAATAAAATTTATCATATAGTAAATGCGTAATTAACTTGCAAAGTGTCCATCGATTGCCTCATAATGACTCAGACTTCATTGTTCTTGCATTTTCATAAAAATTGCATTCTGTTTCCATTCTTTACTGTTCGATCCTCTTGTCTCTCTGCTGCTAGACCTTCTGTTCACGACTAACATCACATACTACTTATGTCAACATAGGTAGCATACGCCACACTATCATTGTAATTAAATGTTCAAGATGTTTACCTTTTATTATTCATGTTATTAATGATATATGTTTCATTTCGAATATTTTTGAACTTTATCGAATACATTTCTCACTAAAACTTCCTAGAATTCATCATGAAGCTACAAACTATTTAACTCACAACTATTATCATCCTATTAGTCAATGTTCAATACAAAAATCTATTATACATATACTGTTTTTGATAGAATATATACATAATAAGTAGAGAGTAAAAAGCTTTTAAACATCTCTTCAGAATTGTGATAATTAAAGTTATCTAACTAATAAGATTTCATAGTTTTCTATTAAAGAAAGTATTTTAAACCTCTTTAACTTTTCATGTTCTAATCACTTAGACCATCGGTAAATCATATGATTGAGCTAAAATATTTCCCTAGATTTAGTTTATATAATACATAGTTTAATTCATTATGAAAGTGGAAGAGTCAAAGAAAAATATGAAACGTACTGTTTATATTGTAACATTCAGTCTATGAAAAACTAAGTTTATTTTCTTCAATAATTAACATCAAGGCATATAATACAAATATTGACGTATGTTATAACCTAGATTTCAGTATAAGCCAAAATATACCATTAATTACATGATATATCGACCACATGATGTACTGAACGAGAACACTAGTAGGAACAATCAAATGTATTTGAACAAAAAATTACTGAATCACTTAGTAAAAAAGTAGGAACTATACAGTAAATACTTCATTTGCAAAATATCAGTCAATCGTCTCAGATTTCATTGTTCTTTCGTTTCTATATCAACCATTCTCCGTTCTCGTTCTCGTTTCTTCTATCTTCTTAACTTCCTGCTACCACGTATTTCACTATCAACTGATGATATATACTACTTATATCTGTCGACATCAGTAGCACACACCACAATGCCGGTAATGTATACTGAGTACATAAACCTCTCCTCTTCATCTAAATATTACCCGGGACTCCATATTTGTTGTCTGGAAATAGAATCACTTTCAGAATAACTTCAAAAATTTTGTCTTCCTGATATATATTCCTGAAAGAAATGATGGATCTTAGGAACTAAGTGTTTTCTTTTGCTTCGACTCCTATCAAAGCTTTCATATTAAGTCGAAGTAAATCTGTTTGTGTTTGAATCAAACTCAGGCTAATAACTGTTTATTGAAACAGATTATGTTTCAGAATAATCATTTGTGCAAAGATTGTTCGTTTGAGTATGTGTTCCACTAGTGAAGAAAGTCTAATTAGTATAGATTTTAGTTAGATTTGTGTATTCAATTGTATGTATTCATCAATATAAATAATAATCTACTGAAGTCATGATGTAGTTACAGTGAATTCTTATGCAAACGGAATACGTGAATATTGGGTAGTAGAGGCAATCGACCAGAAATCTTAGACCAAGGTTTTAGTCTAGTTAGGAATCACCATCAAAGTATATTTGTACTTATCAAAAAATCAATGTTCACCATAAAATGCGATCCACCGTCATTATGTGACGGATTTTACAACATTCAAAAAGTGTAAATTTACGACCCTATCGGCTATCACATCAAGAAAGTTCAGGTCTGCCGGTATTTAGCTTCAGTTAATTCACAACATTACTCAATAATATATGAATCAGTGTTTGTCCGACCGATCTTATTATACGACTGAGATCAAATTTAAAATTTATAGGTAAATTTTCAACGCTTCGTCAACTTTGTTTAGCGCTGAACACAAAATTGGCTGTATAACTAGTTAATAAACTGCTCAATGTATTTTTCATTGCGAAGAAGTGACACCATTTATCTCAGGAGTACATAATGTTATAGATAAATATCATTTTCTACATTTTCCTCATGCTAATTATTAATCATAACTTCTCTTGCAAGACTTGTGATTGCTACCGTACATTACGGAAATAATCCTGCACTTTAAAATGATATCAACTCTGACTTTGAATTTTGCTTCACTTTACTAAGCACTCCATAGATCATGTCTTTTAAAATAGTGTACGCTAATTATTTTAACTATTCCCTTTCATTTTGCCTCAACTTGATAATGTCTATAAATTGACTAGGTTTCTGTGATTATTTTCAGAATATACCGTTATTACTACTACATAGACTACTATCAATATATTATATTTATTGAACTAACATATACATTAGTGCAAGTTATATATCCTCAGTATATATTTTGGTTACAATCTATTCAAATTTCTATCAATAACACTAAAACGTATTACTACAACTACTAAGACCATCATCAAAAATGTACAAGTATTTATAAACAACAGCCTGCGTAAGATAATGGATGTCCGTTGGCCCGATAACATCAGCAACGGCCCACTGTGGGAGAGAAAAAACTATCTGAGGAGGAAATGAGGAAAAGACGTTGGAAGTGGATAGGACACACATTACAGAAATCATCAAACTGCATCACGACGCAAGCGCTAACTTGAACTCCTGAAAAGAAAAGAAGAGGAGGAAGGCCAACTAACAAAATGTGGAAGCAGACATCGAAAGGGTGAATAACAACTGGAAATAATTGTCCAGCACAGAGTTCTTTTAGGAACGCCAGTGGGTAGCCTGTGCTCCTCCACGAGGGGCGACGAGCATAGATAAGTAAGTATTTATCATTATTATTATTATTATTATTAATAACAATGGCTTTATTCAATATAATATTTTGATACAATATAGAATTCTCAGTACAGGATATTTCAACAAGTTTCTTACACAAAAGAAAACAGAAACGAAGACAAAAAAGTAAGACAAGGTTTGAAAACATTCGAAAAAATGTACAACTTGCCAAATTAGGGACATGTTTAAGAATGCAGGTTATTGATTAGGTTAACTCCAACAGCCTGTTCGTCACAGAGAATATTTGTTAGGTAAAATATTATAGAACTTTTATACGTTTGGTTGCGTGCATGGATTTTAATGTAATTACATCTCTTTATACCAGAAAATATGCAAGGAGAAAGATATGAGTGAAGGGGATGGTTAGTATCTGATAAGAGAACACTTGCCAGGTGTTTGAATGACTTGAGATGTCTATCCATAACCATATTAATAATGAACTCGAAAGATTCATCACACACCTTACTAACTGCCTTCAGCACTCTCCGCAATACAGCAACGTCTCTTCTCAAA